CCCCAAAACCCCAAAACCCCAAAACCCCTAAGATTTTATTAAAGATTGAATTTAATTTGATATCCAGTAAATTGCAAAATAATTTTAGAATAATCAAATTACTCCAATCCTAATTAAATCTTAACTTCTAGACATTCTTCTGGTTCCCTTTAATATAATACAACGTTTACCTCTCTTATAACTTTCTGGTGCCACCTAATGTAGAATTCTCATCCAAATTCTCTTCAACGCTTGCCCACTTAAACTAGATTTTTGAAAACGACCTCCTATCCTTACAATTTAGCTTTCACTATCTAAAGCAAAGAATGCTAGAGGGTTTGTTACAGTAATACCCTTTCTGCTTAAAATAGCCTTTGGGATAGAATCTTACATTCTGAGTTCTGGAGCCGTGGCTCACCCTCTTGCTTCCACATTCTCAGACCAATTGGGCTTCTCTGAAGTTCATTTTATTTATCCTCTGCATTATTTGGGATAATTGACTTTGGTTGTCTTATCTGAGTTGTTGATGTCAATTGCCTTCTCTAACAATGCATTTTTACCTTTCTCAGGCTCTGCCTTCTGTCTGGGTGGGAACAACACAAGTCTTTCAAGTTGTAAGATTGGTGACTCAATTACTAAAGATATTGGGACACTGATGAGCACTGTGACCAAGAATGTTGCCAATGAATAAAAGATCTGAGATGGACCATCAAAGTATAATGAGCCTTTAGATTGCATAAAGAACCATCCAAGTACATTAACATGAATTAAGTATGACATAAAGATAACTTTAGCCCAGAGTGCACATAGTTTGCCTCCAAATATATTCTTGATCAGAGTGAGTCTTCCGACAAACATTGGAGCTAGAAAGAATCCAAGAGCAGCAACGAAAGTAGATCTATGGAAGCCATTGAAGAAGTCATTAGGGATCTGGCTGATCTTCCTCTCCTCTGGCTCCATTAACTCAACACTAGGGAACAGAATAAAGAAGAGCATGAGTGTAGAAGAAAGTACAAAAAATCAATTCAATTATACTTCTACTACCCGGGGTTTTGGGGTTTTGGGGTTTTGGGG